GCGAAACAGTAGTTTTGACCTGGCACATGAACATGTGATACAAAAGTAGCACGAAAGCCTCTAAACGCTCTTTTTATAGATTTTCCCACGTACTCTTTTCAATGGCATGGCTTTCAAACTTTGAAAGTATGTCTGTACAGATTTTCCAGAAATCTGGTCTTTATAAAACTAGTTGCGAACATACTTTGGAAGTTTGAAAATCACGCCATTGAAAAGAGCACGTACGAAAACCTATAAAAAGAGTGTTTCGAGCTTTTCGTGCTACTTTTCTACCACATGTCCATGTGCCCAGTCAAAGTTCCCTACTGTGTTTGATAGTCAAATACAGTCTATCGTTACCCGTTACAAGTGACGGCCGTTAGCCGTTACAGTAACAGTAACGCCTGAATCGTTATCCTTTACTAGTAACGGTAACGCAAATTCGTTACCGTTACAGTAACAGTCCACCCGCTAGTCCGTATGGCTCGACGATATAAAACTGTTTCATACCTGTTCGTCATTTAACCAAATACATTCGATTTTAACATTTGGCGGTGAGTCCGATGGATAAGTCGAGAGATATTGAAAACGCAAATAAATTGGCGGGACATAATGTACTTGACGAATCTGCTCTTGTTTATCTATTAAAAATAAAAATAAAAAAGTTGCGTGTGGAAGATATTATATCTCAAAATAATGTTGCAACATTACCTGTATGATGTTGTATGCTGAAATTCTCTGGCAATTTAATATCAACTAATAATGAGCCTTCGTCACATTCGTCATTTATTTCTAATGATGTTTCATCAAATATGCTTCTTAATGCATCAAGTTCTTCTTGTTGCGTTGCTTTATTCATAATAAATATTATCTAAAACGAAAATGTTAAACAAACAAAATGTTCTGTTAAATAATATATTTGCAGGAGATAAAATTCTATTCAACACAAATATAGCGTCAAGCATCTTCAACAAGAAAATAGAATTGGCAAACGCAGTCTATAGTTTTTCAGTCGATACTACTTTAAATTGTTGTGAAACACGTACGTAATTGCGTTATTATTACGTAATATTGAAAATTTCTTATGTTCTCTTTCAGCTTGAAATAAAGAAAAGGCTTGAAATACTTTTACATTTTGACTATTGGTTCAACAAAGTTTTGTTCTTCATGTTCAAGCTAAATAGCGATAGCTGTGGCAAGACATTCGAATATACGTGAGATATTACTCAATTACTCAATGGTTACTGATATTACATCAGCTTTTTAGGTTATCAGAAATCAGAGAAAAGCAGCCCGAAGGCTCTCAGAAAATTCGGTGCAACGCCGAAACCATGATCGATAAACAGTCTGAAAGAGAGTGATAAATGAAGTATTTTTTGTATGTAGGACATGCGAGTGGAACGTTGTTTAAGAAAATTCTAGAAGGAGGGTTTGTACCAAGAGCAATACCAAAAATACAATGATCGTTTTTTTTTTGTTTTAAGGTCACGATCACTAAACCGATGATTACGTGTACAAACGTCATGTTTACCACGTTCATTCCACAATTGGTAAGTCACACTTATTCTAATCCTTATTTTCTTTGCTAGTACGATTTCTTATAGTGTTTACTAACAACAGGCGATATATGCAAGTTTTATAGTGAGAAAGTGTAAACAAAAAAGAGCGATATTATCATTATCATGGTTATTGAATAAAAATTTATATGGAACATAGTACATTTGTACAGCAACTTTAATCGCTGCGTATTGCTTGTCTTATTCATATTTTTAGTTTAGTGATCAATATTTACTGGTTTCTAGCATCGACGATAGTTCAAAAGAAAAAGTTTTAGTATATTGCTTCACATGACATCGACTTTAGACTCATGTTTAGTTTTGCATACATATAAAATAAAAATGACCTTCTAAGATGTGAATGAATGAAGTGAGCATAAACTTTTCTTAACGTAACTTTTACTGGTGTTGTTTAACTTTTCGTGTGCTTCAAATGGGTCACATGAGACTGATAGTGACCGCAATATTGATGAAGAAAAAGATATGAGGCGAAACATTTGTCATATGCTGCCTCGCGTACAGATAACTAGTTATTCTATCGTTAAGTGAACACCCATCAACAGCGAGAAATGACAAAAGATAAATGTTTTATCATTCTTTTAAATGAGATGAATTAGAAAAAATTATTCAACATGTAAATAACAATAATTCATTTTCGTTAAATCATTTTATGATCATAGAAAGTAACATACCATAAGCAAAAACAACAATTATGTGTATATCTCACTCATATAATCTAACATTATTTTTTTTCGATAGACAACTAGTTTTCATTCCAGTTATTCAGGAATCAACTCATTTGTGTTTACTTTAGTGTCTTTGTTTCTTTGAATAATTGCTGACTTACATGTTCTATGTTTTTCCTTCTCTATTGTATATTATGTATACCTGTATAGGTCAAAGTGATATATTTTTCCTCGGTAACCAATGGTTCATTTTCTCTTTTTTATTAACTAGTGAATTTTTCCAGTTGAAACAAAATGCTGTCTGAAGATCAGAGGTGCAGAACCTTACACAAAATCCAAAAATTTCCACAACCGAAAAATTTTTTCCTAAAAATTTCCACAAGCCATTTTGGAATTTCCACAAGCCCTTGATTTTCTCCGTGCTTAACACTTTTTAGAATTCCTCAAAGTTTCCTAGTGTCGACGATTTCCCATAAATTTCCACAGTAAAGACAT